TTTTGCTTTGCCCCAGATGGGCAAATAAGGCATCAGTTACTGTTGCGAAGCATGGATCTTTATTCATAAACGAAATGTGCATTGAGTAGAGATAAATGAATTGCGCAAGGACTTTCACTCCAATATAATCTTTTGTTGTTCCACCAAATGCAATCATACTTTGTATTTTATAATCATTGCTAAAAATCATATCGTTCCACCACTGCTTTTAGCATTCTTGCCCTGGGACTTACGTACAGGGATTTAGTTTATATTTGGATGTATTTATTGATTTTATTGACTTCAGCTTAACTATTCAGTCATTCGATAGTGGTAGGCGTGATTGCGAAACATTCTTGAATTATGAAAAATGTGTGTCTGAGCTACAGGAAAAGATAAGCTTCTTGAATGCCGAACTGCAAGAAAAGGAAGCCCTGATCGAGGTTAGACTGCATCCATAAGCCCGGTTATTCAATTAATCTTTTTCAGAGTGAAAGATCCGCACACAAGGCTCAGTTGCGAGATTTTATCACAGCTGTAAAGGTAGCTGAGAGATGTCGCGAGGAGGCTCAGTTGGAGTTAACGCAGTGGGCTCCGCTTTTGTCATTCATTTTATTTGTGATCATGATAAAATTGGTGATTTAAGACTCATCAAAGCTTGTCGCAGTGTGAGCTCACCTGACGAAGCGTTATGGTTCGAAGTTATGCAGAAATTCAAACGAAACTCCAAAAGAAATGCTCTTTTAGCGTGGGCTCAAGCACAGTGAGTGCTCTTTTAGAATCATGATACTTCAATATTGTGCTGGCAAGATTTTACGTTTGAGCGGTAGGACATGACCATTTTGGAGGGTTCAGAATGCTATTTCCAATTTTGTCTTTCTTATGTGAGAACGTTTCTGGTTGAGGTATTATGATCATTAATGACAGCCAAAACTGGAGAGTTGAGTATAATAAAAATTGTCGCAACATTTCCAGCAAATTTGTTTATCTCACTGGTGCATTCAGCAAATTTTTCAGGGAACGCTCATAACTTCTC